TACATTGTAACTATTTTAAAAATTATTAATAAAGATATGAGCAAAGCCTCACCTTAACACCAAAAAAAAAAAAAAAACTTTTTACAAGGCTTTGCATTTGATTACAGCCCTTGTAGGTTACAGAAATAAATTTTATTAAAATTTGCTTTTAGCCTAACTTGAACTGTTGATCTAGTTTGTAGGATTTGAGAATTTAACCGATAAGCTATAAGACCCAAATCTGCAAATCTTTTTCAATTTGTCAGAATTTCTAAAAGAAACTATGATTTTTTAGTAATAGTAGAGAGGAAGAGATTATAAATAAATATTCTTTCAAAGGTTAATCTAACAAAAGGTTCTTTTTAAGAGAAAAGTTTTTTTTTAGAAAACAAGAATTTTCAATTTCAAGAAGCAAAGTTTTTCTTATAAACTGACAAAATTTTTTCTATTTTCAAAAAATTTTCTTTTTTTCTGTCAGAAGATACCAAAATATTACAAGTAAACTATAATCTTCAAATACAGTACAAGTAATATAGCACATAGCTATAGTAATCTGTTGCAATAATGTAATAGTATAAAAGTAAAATATAACTTTACTAAAGTTAGTTTATAGAAAGTATATAGTTAAAAAAAAAAAAATTTTATTTATAATATAAGGCTTTAATTACAAGAAAGAATATTCTTATAACTAAAAAATATTTGTATATAGAAGAGATGTCTGAGTTTATCTAACAGGAAGAAGAAAAGTCAAGGTTTTTATATCTTTTTCTAAACTAATAAAACTAATAAAAATAGTATAAACAATAGAAATAGTAAAAACAGTAGAAATAGTAAAAACAGTAGAAATAGTAGAAATGATAGAAATAGTAAAAATTATAAAAATGATAAAAATAGTTAAAACAGTTGAAATGGTAAGAATGATAGAAATAGTAACTATTCTTTTAGTTTCTAATATTATATAAAAACACTTAATAATATTATACAATAATACAATAATAGAATATAATATAATATAATAATAATATTAATAATAGACTATTGCTATATAAAATTAATCAAATTGCCAAATCTTATATAATCAAAACAAAATGAAAAAAAAAAAAAAAAAACTAATAACTCAAAATTTTATTATAAAAACTATGCTTCAACTTCTAAGCAAAAGATTTTAGCAACAAATTTTTCATATAAACAATATCTCTTATCTTAACCTAAAGTTAAATCTAATTTCTACCCTTAAGATTATTTAATTTTTAATAAAAATTTTATAATACCAGGTGATATCACTACAGATAAAAATTAATTATAATCTTAATAATAATACTAATAATAAAAAATTTAGAAAACTTATTCTATAATATTATTATAAAATTATAATCAAACCTTTCTATAATCACATCTTTGATTTTAAAAATTCAGTATTTATAGAAAGTTTGTACTTATATAAAGGTTAAATTTTATAAGTAATATATAGGTTGGTCTTAAAAATTTATATAATTATAAGCAAATATAACTATAGAGAAGATGACTATAGAAAGATCAAACTATACTATATGAGGGTAAGTTAATAGAAATCAAATAAATTGTTTTTATTGAATTTTTTTTAAAATTTTAAATATCAATAACTTAACAAAAACTTGATCAAATTTAATAAATTTTTTTTTAAAAAATTTTATAAGTTTGTAGAATTTATTTAAAAAAAATTTATTAAAATTCATTAAATTTTTTATTAAGTAAAGTTTAAAAAAAATTTATTTAAAAAATTTTTTTGATTTCTACTGACTCAACCCCATATATTGTCTTTAAGCACTTTTTTTAAACAAGTTAATTATGCTCTGTAAGTTAATTAAAAGCTTTAACACATATATTTATTGTATATTACTATTTTTTTAGCTTACAAATTATCTCTAAGCAAGATATATCAAGGTAAAGTGAATTTTAGAGGTACACAAGATACTTAAAATTTCATTTGTAAAAAGTTTTCTGTAGTATTATTAATGGTGGTTATATTTTTTTAAAAAAAATTTACTATATTAGAGAGTAAAAGTACTCTAAACCAGTGTTGTCATAAGACAGTTGTGAACAGTAAGTTTGGACACTTTGAACAATTTTGGACAATTAAATAAATTAAAATTACTCAAAATTTTATTAAAATAACCTATATTAATTTCTAAATAAAATATGTTCAGTATATAAAAAAATATATAATCATATATTTTTTAAACAAATTTATTAATTATTAAAGCTTGGACATGCTTTGGACAGTACCAAAAAAGCCTTTGAACAGTCAAAATGTACAACACTGCTCTAAACTGTATAAATTCAATTGTATAAAATTGACCAATCACGAGAAATTTAACCATCAACCGCATAAAAATTTCGCAGTCTCATGATGATATACGCTAAAATTTCATTGGCCAAAACAAACCGCAGATCGTTTTTCGATCAGAAAAATTAGCTTTTGACATTAGGATAAGGGTGAGCATTTGCTAAGACGCAGAAAGTAGTTTTGTGTAGTCGAAATTGTCGTGATTGGTTTAAAATCACGTGTCTGCGACTGATCGACATCGAATTGACCAATTAGATTACAAGATCAGGTGTTACGTGAAAATCATGCGTTTCTTTAAAAAACCGCCTCTATATAACCTTCTACTGCGCACTAGTAAAAAAAATTCCTTGCAAAATTTTAGTATAAAACAAACCTCGCTATAATTGTAAACCTGACCCTATGACTTTAAAAAATTGTGCGTATTCGTCGTTTTGATTGTCGATCAGTGATAGTTCTCTTTGACTAGTCATATTAGCAGAAATCGACTAAAAAAGTCGACTAGAGGATTATCGCTAGAAATGATTCCACAAACTGTCTTTAGAAACCACCAAGAAAAATGTCTTTACTGGATAATGGCTCTTCAGAGGTAATTGACCCTGATACGTATTTTCAAACCCACGCACCATCGCGAACGTTAATTGAGGACGAAACTCGAGTTAAAGAATTTGTAAATAAACATTATGAAGCTGGTAGAAAGATAGCTTTAGTTACGGTAGGTTTAAAAAGACAGTTTACAAAAAATTGAATGTCCTTTTACTAATTTACTTTACGCATATTTAAAATGTGTAAGAGTGGAGGGACTACAGTTCCACTTGAGAATAATACTGTGAGATTTATTGACAATTTCAGCGCCGGGACTCGTGGTGCTACTTCTGCTGAATATCCTTTTGTCCTTTCGATTATTTAAGTTTTTCGTGTTAAAATTTGTTTTCTATTATCATTATATCACAAAATACGTACTTTCTTGAAATGGGATACGCAGTAATATTCATGCATAGACAATTTAGTTTACAACCTTATAGCAGACATTATACACATTCTACAAATTGTTTCTTGGATTTTATGGAACTGAAAAGTGATGGAAGTATTGGAGGTAATAAATTTATCAATAACAATCTAAATTTTTACTCTTTTTTATAAATTATTCTTATTTGCTTATTTTACTATTAGTTAATTCCAAGTATGCTCCAAAAATGAAATCTGTTTTAGAAAAATATCAAGAGGTAATTAAATTTTATTGAATATTCTTATTCTTATTTTTGGTGATGATCCAGTTCTCTTATTCTTTTCTTTTTTCTACATTTACAATGCGAAAGTTCAAAAAGAATGAAACTCTTTTGCTACTTACTTTTGTTACTGTGACAGATTATCTTTTTCTTCTTCGTAGTGTTACAAAAATTATGTCTGTTTTAAAAGAAAATGCTATGTATTATCTTGCGGCAGCTGTTAGTGACTTTTTTATTCCAGCTCAAAAAATGGTAAATCAATTAATTGATTTGATATTAACTATATCAGTTTTTATTTATTTATAAAAAAGAATTCATAATGTTGGTTATATTTAGTCTCAACATAAAATTCAATCAGAAGGTGGTGGATTGACTCTAATGATGGATCAAGTGCCAAAATTTTTGAAACCAATGGTTACGAACTGGGTTCCTGATGGATTTATCGTTTCATTTAAGGTTAAGAAAGTTTTGTACCATTATGGTTGTTATATCAAAAAATTTTTTGACTCATAAATAAATAACCCTAAACTGACATTTCTTACTATTATTTCAGTTAGAGACAGATCCCGCACTTTTAGTTGATAAATCGAGACTTGCTCTTATGCGATACGGTCATCAAATAGTTATTGCAAACCTACTTACTACCAGAAAACGTGAGGTAGTCCTTATTACTCGAGGCTCGGAATTTCCAATAAAATTGACAGAAGACGAAATTGCTGAAGACAAGGAAATTGAATCCAAGATCATTCCTGAATTAGTGAAAAGACATCATGAGTGGATTCGCGATGCAGGTCATGCGGATTTATAAATTATTTCTTGAAGAGGGAAGTGCTTTAGCACTTTTTTTTAATTATTGGTACACATAAATAAGACAAATTGTTAAATGGTCTTACATTAAAATTCCACTGTGACAACCCACGCCATTCAGATTGTGACCAGCATTCCTTATTTTATATTTATAGTTCACTCCAGTGTTCTTATGAAGCACTCGTGAATCAATGGGGTGCGCTCGACTAATAAAATCAAAGTTATATATAGGTGTAGATCAGATTAGATAGTAATTTCAAATAGATATATAGCCTTAACAATAGGGTGCTATTTTTTTATACTCTCTATATTTATTTTTTATATTTTTTAACAAAACGAAGACTTTGAGCAAAGATATCTTGAAAAGCGCCTGATCAAATCCGATGGAATTTTTTTTAGTCCAGGGGATTCAAATAAAAAAAATTTTTCGAATTTGATCAAGTTGTTGAGATTTCTTTGCTCAAAGTTTTAAAAAAACCTCAAAATGCCTATTAAAATAATTATTAAATTTTTTAAAACTTTGAGCAAAGATATCTCAACAACTATCTGATCAAATTTAATAATTTTTTTATTTAAATTTTTTAAACTTGTACAATAAAATAAAAAAAATTTTATTGTATTTGATTAGTAGTTGTAATATTTTTAAGTTTTGAAATTAAGAAGCTATTTAAATCTTTAAACAAAGATATTTTAACAACTACTTGATCAAATTTGATAATTTTTTTATTTGAATTTTTTAGATTTAGAATTTAAATAAAAAAGGTTTTATCAAGTAGTTGTTGATATCTTTGTTATAGTTTTTTTATTTTAATTGATGTTTTGAATTTTTTTTAATGTTAAAATTATTTTTTGGTTGTTTTTTTTTTATTTGATTATAGTTTAACTTTTATAGTATACTGTAGCACATGTCACCTTATACTGTATACTAGTGTTTTTATGAATTGAACTAAACTGAACTTTTGGTCAAGTTCAAGTTTAGTCAAAATTAAATTAAACTTGAATTTGAATATTTTTTAAAAAAAAAGTTTAGTTTAGATTTGATTAGGGTTTCTCAAAATCAAATTAAATCAAATATTAGATTTATTTGAATT